ACGTCATCTTATAAAAAAATAAAGGGTTTTTAATTTACCTTTTAAAAAAACGAAAAGTAATGGGTAGTTCGAAGTCAAAATTGGGCAAAGCAATTTTATTTAAAGGTGTGGTGCCTAATAGGCAATATAAAATTGATTAAATTTCGTTTGACAGAAAGTTTCATTAAAAAAATCAGTATTTCTCAAACTGTATTTGTTGATGGGTTTCGGAGTAAAAATGTCTTTGAAGACAGATTGAGACAAGTCATTTTTACACATGTATACAAAGCATAAATCATTATATATATTTAGCTCGTATATATTTAAAATTCTCATTTCAATAAAATAATGTTTTGCGTGAGAAAAGCGATTTGCAAAGCAGATTAAACGGATAGCATGCTTCTGACGGCGATAAAGACGTTGCAACTTACTTTTTTCTGTACTACCTCAGGCGATATTAGCATAATTTAAATAACTGTGTTAAATAACCATTTTAAAACTTTATTTTTCATTCCATAGTGTTTAAGTTTATAGATTAGAATTTGGTGATCAACCGTATCAAAAACTTTTGATAGATCAATAAAAAGTCCTAGAGTATATTGTGATTTTTCAAATGATTTTGAGATTTTACGTACAATTTTGATGATTGCATGTTCAGTAGAGCTATTCTTTTTAAAACCGAATTGATTAATGTAAAGTAATTTGTTAACATGAAAATATATGTATACTCTGTTACATATATTTCTTTCTAAAATTTTTGAAAATGTGGAAAGAACAGAAATAGGGAGATAGTTACTAATAATTGATTTGTCCTCTTTTTTGAAATAGGAATAATTTTGGCAATTTTTAACAGTTCGGGGAAAACACCTTGATGGATAGAAGCTTTAAAAACTTTAAAAAGAACAACTTTTAGCTGTTCAAAACAATCTATGATAACATTTCCATTTATTTGATCTGTTCCAATTGCTTTATTTTTCATTAATTTTTTTTTTTATATTGCTTTTGACTTGAAATAAGGAAATGCGTTAAATTTTTTTTTAACTTATTTATTACAGTAATCAATAAAACTTCTTGATTGAATTGATGAAGTGAAGCACATCAGGCTTTCCTATGCTGACAATGGACATTGCTGCAGCCGAAGCAGCATTTTAAACGTATTTTTTAAAAAAGTGCACAGTGCATCATCTAAATTCTGAGCTAATTTGTTCCATCGCTTAGTAACTCGGTTTGTAAAGAAGTGCTGACCTTCTGAATTTCTTTTGATCAGTTGTGGTTTTAAACATCGGCTGTTTCTTCTCAGATTATATCGTGAATTTGACAAAAAAGGTTGGGCTTGTGGTATGTAAAACCAATATTTTAATAATAAACTATAACTCGGACATTCTTAGAAAATAGTTTGTTTTAAGAATGAAAAATATCAAAATTAGATTCAGAGACATAACAAACTCTTGGCAATTTTGATTGTTAGTACAGTAAATTTTTAGAAAATAAACCAGTAAAATCATCTATGAAAGAGTTTAATTTCTTTTTAATACATTATAAAGGTGTACCAAAAGAACTATTAGACTTATCAAAGAGCACCTCGGACAGAGCACCTCGGAGGACCTCGAGGAGCACCTCGGAGGAGAAATTAACCAGGAAGTTTACGCTTTCTTCCTAACTAATGTTGCTTATTGATCTTGAGGCGGGTCGAACTATGTAACTCTTGGTTCTGAGCTAAAACGCTAATCACTGCGCCATGACTGCTCAATAAACTGGATCAATCCTGAAACGTTTTGTCTTGATTTGGATCCGAATAAATCCTTAACTCCCTTTAAACTTCATTTATTATTTGGAAAACTGTTATTAGGCGAGACGATCATTTGGACAGTTTTTGTATTCATTAGGACAGTCATGATATTATTGGGTTATTACGGGGACGGTTATGACAATATGCACGTTTTCTGTATCTACCATATAAGAGTGCAAAAAATTATTAAAAGTACATAAGAGTGCGAAAAATTATTAAAAGTACAAAGTAATAATAAATTAATAAAAATCACCTATCAAACTTTCTTCTTTACCAATGTTGCTTATTGGCTCTGAGCTATCGAACCGTAAAATATCAGAGTACGAACAGTGTCATGTTAAGCATAGATGGTGTCCCTGATTGTACTTTTGGTGTGCATTTTTAAAGCCACATTTGGAGCCCTTTGTTACGGCCTAGGATTTATTAAGAGTAATCAGGCAAATAGCTTGGACTATTAGATAGTGTATTGAGCACTACCTGTGCTTCGAGTGAAGTTCTTTGACAAAGTTAAAAATGACTTAATTTTTTTTTCAGATTTATTTCGCGGTTTAAAAATAGTTACAATAACCAGATAATATAGTTACAATAATATGTATATGTATAATTACAACCATAAGAAAATATATGTTTACATATTGGCAGCAACAAAGGCACGACTTCTAAAATATCACGAGGATCTTATTATGAAGCCCTTAAAAAATATAATATATTTACACTTTTTCAATATAATTTTAATTAAAAATAAACTATTCTTAATGAAATAATAATACATTATTCTATAAAAAAATTAATAAAAAAAAGTAATAGTTAGTCTAAAAGAAAGCAATATACAAAAATAGTTAAAATAGATGAGAATGTTTTCTAATAAAAGGATAACCTTTTTAAGTTTCTGTTTAAATGAAGCCTAAGTCATTTTAATTGAATAACCAAAATTAGGTAAAACTATTTTGTTCCAGAGATAAGGTCCTCAATAAGAAAAAAAAATCTGGTCTTTTTATTGCTGGCAAAAGGGAGCAATAAGATTGTTATTAGTGCGGAGATTATATTTGTTTTTCGGTTTCAAATTATAAACATTTTTAAATACAGTTGGTGACAGGTTTTCTCTACATTTAAACATAAAGCTCAAAAATTAAAAACATTAAGTTGGTTCACGTTTAAAATATTAAGTTCTTTAAAAAGTTGTTTTGTGTGAGAAAACCGATTTTTAAAATTTATTACGCGAATTGTGTGTTTCTGACAAAGGTAAAAAGATTTAAGCTTTTTTTATGGGTGCTTCCCTATATACAATTTGCATAGTTTATATGACAATAAATAAATGAACAAGACAATTGTGTTAACTGATGTTTACATAATATAGTTCTTGCTTTATAAAGAATTCCGATGCATTTTACAACTTTTGTGGAAGTAGTATCAATATGATACCTCCAGGACAGTTTTCTATTAATATATATATATTCCAAGAAACTTTGTAACCTGCCCTAATAGAACGCAACTCGGAATTAGACTCAAAAAAGTGCGAAAAACCTATTATAAGTCGGAATTAGAGCAATTTTTTGACAATTTTCGAATATAAAATCTTTTTTAAGGCTGATTAGTGGGAATTAAAAGTTAAATAAATATTTCGCATTAATTTCGCGTTAATAAGATAGATTCAAAATCTTTTCAAGTCCATATGAGTAATAATTATGTTTCCGCATTTCAATACATAAATGTTTTTATCTTATTATTCTTTTTATTACCAGTAATAAAAAGAATAATAAAAATATTTAAAAAAATATTAGTAAAAATATTCTTAATAATTAACAACAGAGACTCATATATATTATATCATATAAACTATATATGAGTCTCTGTTGTTAATTATTAAGAATATTTTTAACCTTGTTAAACAATATATATATATATATATATATATATATATATATATATATATATATATATATATATATATATATATATATATATATATATATATATATATATATATATATATATATATATATATATATATATATATATATATATATATATATATATATATATATATATATATATATATATATATATTTATATATACATGTATATAATATATATATATATATATATTATATATATATATATATATATATTATATATATATATATATATATATATATATATATATATATATATATATATATATATATATATATATATATATATATATATATATATATATATATATATATATATATATATATATGTATATGTATACATATACAAATATGTAAGTGTATATATGTGGATATTAAAGATAATATCTTTGTATTGTCATGTATAATATTGTATATGCACTACACTAGACACTATATAGTAGAGCTATATAGTATATATACATAGACACTATATACTAGAGCTATATAATATATATTACTGATACCAGGAGTTATTATGTGTGAATCCAAGTTTCAAGTGTTATCACAGTCATAAGGCAAGTAGTAAAAAGTATATTCTGCTGCCTCCTATTTAGCTAATTCCTGGTACTGCAGGTAACAGTAATATATACTATATATATATATACTATATATATAACAGTAATATATATATATATATATATATATATATATATATATATATATATATATATATATATATATATATATATATATATATATATATATATATATATATATATATATATATATATATATATATATATATATATGTATATATATATATATATATATATATATATATATATATATATATATATATATATATATATAAATATGTAACGCCCTATGTTTTCAGGTACTTTGTTTTTCTCTCTTTGAAATAAGTAAATAAATATTAAATTGAAACTGTAAATACTTTTAAATGATAGGCAACACATATTTCTTTAAGTACAAAAACTTTATTTAGAAAACTTTATAGTTAAATTGTAAAAATTATATATGTAGAAAGTTTTAACTAATTATTTAACAATTAAAACATGTGTATAGTATATATTTATAGTTATAGCACAAAGTGTACATGGAATGTTTTGTTTTCAATATTATATCCTCTTTTTGAATGTTCCTTTTAATATATAAATTTGTAGAAGAGTTATGAAGAATTTTTTATTTCGTTATGCATATTTTCCGGATTTTTTTTATTAACTTTTACGTATGAGTTTCATTTATTTCATTCATATTGTATTAGTCTAGTTTCACTTAATTTTCCTATATTCTTATAAATCGTTTTTTCAACATAACGCTAAATTATTTATTTGACAGTAAACGATAAATAAAATAGTACATCATTAACAAATGATGAAGATTTGTTTGCAACAAAGTTCAAATTTTTGCACATGATATTGTACGTAAAATATAAATAGTTTGCAGTTAATATTTTACCCAGTACCTTATTTTTGTGTAAATTCAGTTTTGTAGTTACTTTTTCTGTTTGAATTGTTATAATTTTCATTTAATTTTTGAAACTTATTTCACAGGTTTTCTAAAAAATTGAAATATGACTGAAAAAGCCTTCGATAGTGATGGAAAACCAATCGTGCCGTCTAGACCACTTGTAAAAAGGATCTTAGCTAACGATCCGAAGAGATTTTGTGGAAAATACATGTTGAAAGAAATGATTGGAGATAATTTTGATTGCGACGCTCATTATGAGCGCAATAAAAAACATGCTTGGGCGGTTGTAAATTCTTCAAATATTATTCCTGTTCCTTCTGAATATAATGGAAAGCCAGAAAATTTACGTAGCAGTGCTGCTACTTTCTACACCACTCCAATTTCGTCTATCTGGCAATCAGAGTGTGGCAATTTCATTTTGTTCCCTCCTGATGATGCCTACACTTTTACTACGATTGAAAAGTTTCACACCAAGGACTGGTTTCCGAGGATCAATTTTAAAGAATATTTGTGTTACCCATCGAGTAGCACAAAATTCAACATTCGAAATCGTAAGTATAATTTGAATTCCATAAGATTCTTTTATGTATGAAATGTATTTTTGTTCGAGAGAGTTATATATGGCCCAAAATTAAGATGATTTTGAAACCTATCAAAAATAAATAATAATTTTACTGTAAATTTGAACAATATGCTCTTGAAAAAATTAAGACTCTTTCAAATAAAAATAAAATGCATTGCTTGTTATCTATCTTTGAAGCCATAAAACTTCTTAGAAATTCATGTACTTTCATTACAAATATTCATTTTTTGCAAGGCACAAATTCGAAATCTGTTTGGTGCTAATATTTTCTGTAGATTTGATGATTGTGTTAATGAACAAAATGTGCACTTTAAAAATGTATTATAATCAACAAAAAAATGGTAGTCACAAATTGAATGCCATTTTGTGTCTGAACATTTCAAATAATAAGTAAATCTGTTCAGCTGAACAGATTTAATTACATAATGAGTTTTACTCCTTTATTGGTGAACCATGAGTAATGATTGTATTACATTTCATTTTTCTTCTTTCCTTTTTGTTTTCAGCAACGAATTGGAAGCAATTTATGGGAGATTGTAAGAAAATACTAATGCGTCGAGTTTTGAGTGATTCCGAGGCGCCGAGCAATAAATCTAAACCGTCGGAGAAACAAGCAACTAACACATTCAAAAAGCTTCTAGTGAAAAGTGGAATAAAAGCTGTTGACAGAAAATTACCATCTGCAATCAACATTTTTGACCAAGATGCTCCTACCAGTCAATCTCGATCTTTGAAGCGCAAGTTTTTTGATGAGGTGATGTCCTCTGCTGACAAATTAGAACCGAAGTATAAGAAGCTGGTGAAGGGTAATAAATTGGCAGAAAAAAATCCCAAGGATTCGAAAAAATTGCTTGAGAAAACAGAATTGAGAAAGCAGCAGACCATAAAAATGAAAACTCCACCAGTATCAGCAAAACAAAAATTGGCTTCTGTTATATCTTACAAATCAGACAAAGCGATGAAACAAATTAACTTATTTCCGAAAGGTTAGTATTTTTCCTCAATTCTAATTTGCATGAAATTATAATTTACTTCCTAATTCTGGGTTATATAAATTTAATTTTTCTTCTAATTCTGAGTTTCATGAAACGATTTTTTCTCCTAATTCTGTGTTCCGAAATATACTTATTTTGATATTTTAAATTTTACAGAAGATGACGAAGCTGGTCCAAAATTGCAAGCTCTTGTGGATTCAATTTCAGGAACACATGACAGTCAAAGGTTGTGTGACTCTGACTTTGACAGTCCTCAACCTGGCAGTATTCCAAGCAGCTCAGATATAGAATTGACTAATCAAGGGCAAGAAGTTCTTGATGTTGTTGTTGAACGAAATCTCCTACCACCACCATCCGCAGTTGCTTCACCAATTATTCAACAAGAAACCAGGGCCAGTAGACGCAATATTGGTTCTGCTGTAATTAATTATGCAGAAACGAAAAGTGACAGTGGATCTGATTTCGCTCAACCAACTTCATTCGATTTTTCAATTCCTCCACAACAACCAGCAATTCTGAAACCTATTGTACATAATAAGAGCATAGTGACTGCTGTCCCCAAAACTCCATCTCCAACTAGATTAATTGTTCCAACCCGAGGTTATACCTCTGTTCCTGTTGTTGCCATACCCCGGGACAAAGAAATGCAAGATCTATTTTCAACTATGAGCACTCAAAATATGGTGACCAGCAGTCAAGTCAGCAATATTGATCTCAATAACACATGCGCTTCGGTCATCAAGTATATGAATGAAAATCCATCTGGAAGTGGAATTTTGTTAAATCTGCTAACAACCGTCAAAGACATTCAGGTTGACCAAAAACTATTGAAAAATCAATTTCAGCTTTTGGTTTCAACTCTCAATCGCGATAGGAGGTTTTTAACAATCGATGGGAACAGTGATTTTTACTTCTCCATGGCAAGCGAAATTCAAAAAATTTGCCAATTACCTTTGTCAAAAATTGGCGATTTATGTGTTGCCGAAGAAATGTTCAAGAATGCTGATTATGTCAGCTTCTTGTTAATGATTTTCGTTACGAATTCGGTTGCTGGTGGCCCAGTGGGAATGGTGGCTGGGTTCGTGTGGGATAAGTTTTTTACCCCAAGCTTATCCAGCCTCATTGCCTGGGCCAGCATTGATGAATGCAGGGAAGATGGCTTCAAAGAATTTGGTAGGAAAGATGGGGAGAAGAAGAAATTGCTGTTGTTTAAATCACGTTTTCCGAGATTGACCCAAATGATTTACCACATCATTCGGCGACGTGCAATGCTGAGTGAAAAGAAACCACCGTCAACATTCAAAATGAATGAAGAAATTAAGAAAGCTAGGGCTGTCAGCGTCAGAAGATATACTACTGGAATGTATATTACGGACTTTCAAGACTCCTCTTCAGCGTATCCCGGCAGATTGTGTTTGGCAATGTTTTCTGAAGATATAGACCAGGGACCGGAATTTAATCAAGCAGATTTCAAAGAAGATCAGAAAGTCCGAAGAAATACGTGCTTCATTTGCTCCAATAGAAGTGCTATTTGTCAAAACGAAGCTGAAGGATTTGCTGGTGACAAATTGGGCCGAACAAGTCGAAATAAATCGAAGAAATATTCTGCAGCTGCTAAGAAAGAGGCGAAGAAATTCGTGAAGAAAAATAATACAGTAGAAAAAACTGCTTGTGGAAGTTGTAGACGACCAAATCGAAGAGTCAATGAGAAACCGAGGAGGGAGTTTTTGAATTATTGTTCGTTTGCTCATCGCTTTCAGCGTATTGAAGAAAGAGCGATGAATAATATGTCTGAAGGAGTTTCATTCTTGGATTGTCCGGCGATGACAAACCAATTGATTGAGGTACGTCATTTTTTAATACTTTGTTATTCTATTTAATTTGCAGCAGGCAAGATCGAAGTGATTATAAATGTTATATTTCTAAAAATCCTCTATTTCTTAAACTTTTCCTTTTTTTTTTTGTGGGCAAAATCCTAATTTTGATATAACTCAAATTTGTAATTCCTACTAACTGATTACAAAATTTGACACACATGCAGGCACGTTCCATGTACCAAGAGTATCTACAAATTCGAGCCTACCACGCGGATGATGACGATATTGGTGCGCCAGAAGACGATTCACCTCCAGGTTGTGGCAATAAACATTCTGGTCAAAGTTCAACTATTTCCAAGAAAAAGCGTCCACGAGCATGTGATGATACTGACGAGAGTGAAACCGAAGGTGATAACAGTGATGCGAGCAATAGCAGCAATGACGAAGAAGAAAAGAGTGACGAAGGGACAGAAAGTGATAAAGATTCGGTGCTATTCTCAGTTAGTCCGGTGCAATTCTCAGATAGCGAAGTTAGCGAAACTAGTGAAGAGGACGTAGTTGAGGAAGTTCAGGTAATACCAAAACCAAAGGTAAATTTTGATTTTAAATCAATACACTAAGAAAAAAATTAGAGCTGTTGACATTTTTTTTAAACAGAAGAAGAAGTCGAAGAAGAGGTCTGAACACAACGAGAAAGTGTTCGAAAAAGCTGCCAAAAAAGCTGCCATGAAAGTTGGCAAAAAAGCGTATAAACGTTCTATGGAGAAAGACAGACATTTTAGTTCTTGAACATATTTTCTATTTTGAAGTTTAAGTGGTTTTGGTTAAAAATGTTTTTTTCTTTCAGTTTATTATATTATCAGCTTGAATGGTATTTACACTAATTGTTGCAGACTTCTAAGTCATTTAAGTTTTGTTTTACAGCCAATAGCATAAGAGTAGGAATCTTGTGTAATAAAATTCTTTTTGTAATATATTAATCTAAATCAAGTGTAGAATAGTACAAACAACTATTGAAATAATTATTGGAACATATATAGCAGGTAGAGGAGGGGGTGAAAGGGGGAGCACATGCTCCCCCGCGCCTTGTCCTATTTAGCGTCTCAAAGATTTAAATATAATATTTCAACGAAGTAAAAAATTATTTTAGCATATATTCAAAAAACATTTTAGTACACACCATAAAAAGAGCGCATCTTTAAAAAAATAATGATGTAATTTAATTGAGTTTTTGAATCTTATCGAAAGTAAATGATTATTAGGCGCTAAAAAAATATTGCTGTTGGACACCTTTATTTTAATTTTATATTTGGCGCCTTTTTAAAAAAGACTTTCCCCTACCTTCAAAAAGTTTAGGCTACGGACCTGCATAGTCTAAATTTAGAACCTTTACTCTAGAACTTTTTGTTTTCTTCTCTATTTATATGAAGTCTCCCAATGGAGATTGGATTGATTCAAAATTTTTGTAAGTCCAAATAAGTAAGAATTTCGTTTTCGCATTTTTAATTTAATACACAAATGTTTTTACCTTATTATTATCTTTATTATATTAAATACATGGAAAAATAGATTTACTGACAATTTATAACATGGAACAAAGGAGTGCATACCCACTGTGCATTTTTTGTGTTAAATTGAATTTGTTCTTTTGCATTGATATCAATGTCAGTAACTTCTTTCTCATATAAGAGGCAGACGAACTGATTTTCTATGCAGTCTGCATTAACTTCGCGTTTTCTGTCATGATTTAAATCTCCAGAAACGAGAAAAATATTGAAATCTGATGAATTGCACGGATATCCTTCAAAGAAATCTCCTTGTTTTTTGAAAGGAGAAATTGAAACTTTAAATTTGTCTTCAACGTCATCATATCGCATGTCGGAAACAACGCAGACTTTAGGCTTGCCAATAGAACTGTTGACGAGAACAACATTGTTCGGGTATTTGTTGGAGATCGTAAAGTCCCGAAAAATTAATCGTTTCATATGGCGCGTTACTTGGAGTTCATAGGCATTCGGTTTGTTTCCTTCCTCTCCCATTTGATAAAATTTATTTGATGGATGGTCAGTAGAAATTGTGTTGATGACACCAAAATCATTCTCATTGAAGTTCGAAAGGTGTATAATGTTTGTTTCTGCTCCTGTTTGTCCGCCTTTTAGTAGAGCACGTCTTCTTTGACAACTGTTTATAAAAAGTCAGAATTATGATAAAATAAGTAAGTAAGAATTACACTTTTCATTATTAAGTCAGAAATAAATAAGTCTAAGTTAAATTGGAATTAAAACTCACATTGGCGGCAGAACAATGTTTGAAATCTTTTTCCGCATCAAGCTGTTGCGGATTTGTGCATGGACACGATGTCCGCCTCTTCCATCGAGCACATGGATAAAGAATTTCATCGAGTTCTCGTACCGAAACATGCAGCAATACTCAAGTCGACAATTATTCGCAATCAAATCATCGACAATATGCAGCAAGCAATGAAACGTATAACGTGGGAAGTCAGCGCCATACAACTTTTGACACTTCTCAACTAAATACAGTAAATTCTCTCTTGCTTTCCTGAGGTGTTCTTTTGGCACCTTCGAATTGTGCCCAGAGCCAACAAGCAACATTACGGCATGCTGAAAAGCAAGCAGAATTTTGTATGCTTCGGCTTTCATTAACGGGTGCCTGAGAATAACGATTGCAACATAAAGGAGGAAAATTCGCTTTTCAGCACACGACCAGGTGATTCCAAATTTCTTGAATGGTTTAGTACCAATGTTGACCTGGATGGCATATGGCAAACATCCTTTCACTTTTTTCAACTTCAATTCCAATGAATCCATTAATGCTTTAGAGAATTTTCCACCTTTCACTTTCTTGCCGTCAATCCATGTGTAATGAAAAAGCCAGGGAACAGCACAACTATACACAGTATGCATAGCATCAAGTGGAATACTATGCAATATGTTGAACCGACCTTCTGTTTGCTTCGAATACATCAGAAGAATGTTGTGTGGATCAGGAACTTTTTTGTGATACATGTCAGCATCCAGGTAATTTTCCTTTGTTCGCATCAGTAAATTTCGGGTTGGAACAATTGATAAATGGCCTCTTCGAGGTCCACCGGTCTTTTTGTTGATGCCTTTGCACAAGGAAACACCGCGTTCACCACATCTGAAGAAATAAAAAGTCGGAGTTAAGTATTATTGAGTTTAATGAAATTAGAAAAAAAATAAAATAGAACAGTATGTTTAATTTCGACTTACCTTTCACATCCGCAATAGGCATTTGAAGATGGGAATCCTTTTATAAACTGCCTGGCTGGGCCGTCACCGATGAAGAATTTCAAAAACATTGTGCACAATCGACGTTTGTTTGCTAACTTCATTTCCTTGAAAATACATTTCAGGAATTGATTAGGACAGGACGGCTTGGCAGTTCCATAATAAAAACCAATGATGACCGGTTTAGAATTTCGTGGCATGTAGAAGCGGACACAATTTTCTAGGTGAGTGCAAGGACTTATATATAATAATTGACCCATTATTGGCCAACAAGCGGATTTTGCAGCTTTTTTTTGGATTTGCACTCCATCTGCGCTGACTTCATAGACAAGATGGGGGATTTTGTTGCTTCCCTTACACTTCTGACAATGATTTTGCTTCTGACCAATAGCTATAAATTGTTTATAGACCACATTGGCATCAACACCTTCATCAACTGAGTCTTCAGAGGTTGATTTGCGGAACATGTGCTCTGGTCTTTCTTCGTTGGTCGAGTACAAGTCCGAATTCGACAAATCGCTGACATTGTAACCCAAGACTCTCTTTTTTGTTGCCTTTGATGGTATTTTGTATTTTTCGGTAGTAGCAGTAGCAGCAGTAGTTGCTGGACGAGATTCTGATGATACTGTAATTAATTTTTTCTTCTTTACTGACGGAAAGTTTGATGGCATTGGGCAATTTTGTTCATTTGAATCTGTTTCAGCCTCAGCCTCATCATCAGCATCACTAAAATCCTCATTGCTGTCATCACTTCCGCCTAGGTTTACATCTAAATTACGCGGTGAATGTTCGTTGTTTGACAAATGATACTGCAGGTCTTCAAACTCGTCTTCTTCAAGTACCTCTTGTTCATCTACTTCATCAGCAGACTGTTCTGTATTTTTAACAGCATCAGAACAAGCAATTTCTTTCAAGGCAGGAATTTCTGCTAGCGTCACTGCTAATGAATTTGGTACGTTTTCAGAAACAGCCTCTGTACATAAATAACTTCTTTTAAGTGCTGAAAAATTATATAACAAAATGAGATTATTTAATCTACACTATATAAGTAAGAACTAGAAGTAATGGTAAATCGGAATTACAGTAGGTCAACAAATAAGAGTTATACATTACTGTATATTAGCATTTTGATTCCGTGTTAAGCATTAATTATATTAGAATTCACACATACCTGCTGCTGCAGCTACTGATTCAGCCTTCCTACGAATGACTTGCCAGCGCCATTTCAATAAATCTTTATTGTATTTGTTCCGTTTACCAGTCACAAAGGATGGTTTTGTATCAATGACAGTTTTGGCAAAGTATTCAGGAAATCGAGTAACCAGTTCATCAAGATAAAAGCGGATGTCTTTAGAAATTGATCCTATCGAAAATCCAAGTAATCCAGCAAGCAATCCGTAATGTGCATATGTACCGAATTCACCACACGGTATTGGCCTGTATAAATATGTAATACAAATATAAGTGTATAAAATAGATATATAGTTTTTATTTAAACTTACATGTACTCCAATCTGGCAGTTTCCATTTGAGGACGCGATGGCTCCATTAATACCTTTCCAGACCTTGGCAATTCTGCCAGTTTAGGATCAAGCTTCGAACTCGACAGCATTTGAAATACAAATGTTGTTTTTGATTCTGGCAAGTTCAAATGTGAAAAAACATGTTTCAGAAGATTATCCCATGTTATTTCTTTCTTTGGATGTTTAGCAGCAATATCTTTCATTCTTACTTTGATTTCCAGATCCATAACTGATTTCAAATTATGCAGATCATCGGGAGAAATAACTTTTTCTTCGTTGTCAACAGCAGCATCATTATCAGCAATTTCGTTTTCTGCATATTTGCTAAAGAAATTGTTGACAAATGCAGCATGATCTTGAATAATAGCAGCTTCTTTTGCAGGTAGTTCATCATCATTAAAAGGCTCTTCATCTTCATCACTACTAGAGCTGCTATTGCCAGTTTCTGATTTTGATTCACTTTCTTCCTGCTTATCAGATACTGCGCGTTCAATAACTAAGTCCAAAAATAGCGGCTTATTGCGAATGTCATTCGAATTATGGCCGTGTTGATTGAATGAATGCAGCATCGTATTTTGTTTCCTTTTTGAAGCAGGTGGATTATCATCGAGTGAACAGTCAGTACTTGATTGATTATAGTCCAATTCTTTTTGATTTATTTCGGCCATATACTGGATAATTGTTTCTTTAAGGCGATCGGGACTGACTGCTCGATTATTATTTGATCCCAAGTTCATGTATTCTTCATCTAATGCGTGGAGAGAATAATTATTATCTGCTTCTCCAACCTCTTCTTCTGCTGCAGATGTACTTGGAATCGAAGGACTTTGAGATGTGTTTACCTCCTGCTCAGATACCACCAACTTCCTCTTTTTAGCTGCTGCTGGTAAAGCAAACTTATCAGAAACCGAAAGCTCATTTAACGAGGAAGCTGATCCAGAAGATAAAGATTTTGTATCTTCGTCGCCTGATGATGAAGCAGACGACGACGATGATGTAGTAGTGCTTAATGCGACAGGGCTGTCATCATGTTCATATAATCCGTTTATGTAAATTGGATCAACAGCACGACATTTCAACTTATTTCGATTCAATTTGGCAATTTTTTGCATTTTAGCTGCAGATTTCTTGGCATTCCTCACTACAGCAGCTAACTCATCTTCGCGTTTCAGTCTCTGAAGTTGCTGCTTCAAAAGATAATATAACGATTTCGAAACACAAAAGTCTCTCAATTTTGTCCTAGGACCTATAGATTTCTTAGCTATCAAGTATTCAAGATTTTCACGACCCAAGGCTTTCACTAAGTCATACTTCCCATCAGGCCTAATATAAGCAGGTTTTTTGTGACCGCCCATTACTTCTAAATATAATTTAACTAAAATAATTTTATTTAACGTTTACCTTTGAATGCACTTATTAAGCATTGTTCGATAGCTAGTTACTAGTTCTTTTCTCATTTTTAAGTGGTTTCTAGACTTTTCTTAAATCGAGCGCTTGCATAAAGACCTTTTCTCACGACCTTTCATGCTATAAATCTAAGCTAGCAATTTAAGCTCTAAATGTTTAACATAACAGATAAGTATCTTAATGTTTTAAGTAATGGTAATATTATATTGTTATGGTAAACTACTTTTTTTAATTTTAACTTATATCTTCAGTTCTTATATATTTATATAATATTCGTATATAATTTTATTATTTTAAAACTTCGTTTTTTTATAGATCTTATAATTTTTAAAATATAGATGATTATAATTATATTTATCTCTAGTTATATTTATATCTAAAGTTATCTCTCTATCTATTGTATTTATTAATTCATATTAGGAGATGAATAATTTAGTTAAAGATGCTGAATAGTTAATGAATGAAGGTTTGTAGTTTTCTTGCCTTTGTGTCACTGACAGCGTCATCTTTTTATATTTGTTTAGCTTTAAAGTTTTTTTTATTGAATTCTTAGAGAGTAAGTTATTTTTTTAATTTTGTTACAGAATCGTTATATTTATTTCTCTGTTTTCTTTCGAAATTCGTGTTTAAAATGCATATAAGTTTTTGAAGTTATGCTTTTTTTTTTCATTTTCTTATATTACAGCATTATAATCTTATATTATAAAAAGAATATAATAAAATAATTTTTATTTTATGTATGTAAATATTTTTATATTTGTTAGTTGACAATAATTTAGAAAATAGAGAAGTCCAAAGTAAACTTAAATATATTTTGAATTTTTTATGAGTGAATTTGTATTTTTGTTTTATTTTATTATAAATTGCAGTTTGTATATGTATATACATTTACAAACTGCCATCTATAAATGAACTTAAGTATTTACATTAGTTTTTATTTCATTTAAACAAGCGAATGGGTTTTGATATTTAGCTTTTATTTAGCTTTTGCTTTTTTTGTTGTAAATACTTTATATGGCTTTGTTTAATTTGAGATTTGTTGGTTGTGTTTATTTAGCTTTTCTTGTTAAGGTGCTTATTTGCTGAGAAGAAAGTTACACAAGCGAATTTTAAGTTTGTATATACTTTTGATATTATCTTTATAAATGTTCTGATCTTTAAAATGAGTAAAATCATTTTTGGTAATGTTATCTTGAATTTTATAGTATTAATTTTTTATACTTAAAACTTTTTTCTTTTTTTTTTAGACTTTAAAAATTTCTATTTATGATTTATAACATATATTTTTAAAGTTCTGCTTTCACGATATTTGGTTTTAGTTGGCTCACTGTTTAATATAACTTTAATTTAGTAAATTTGAAACTCAATTAAATAATCAATTAAAGCTAGCGAGTAAGTCACTTTGATTCAATAACACCGAGGAATTTATGACTTAAATTTTTTTGCTTGAATAGTTTCCGATTATTTTTATATACTATAAACATTGTCAGTTTCTAGCTCATTTAGTATATTCGATGACGATCAATTGTGAAGCGACAATAACATTGTGAAATTTTTATAGGCATATGTTTGGTGTGCATCTTAAGATCATGTTGGGGTTTTTAATAAATGTTGAACTTTTTCCAAACAAAAATTATAGTAACTGTTATACATTTATTTTAATAAATCAACAGGATGATAAAATTTAATTTGTGTACGTAAACTTGGTCAAATTTATCTAAAATAGGTTTTTAATATGTTATATATATGAAATTAGTTATCATAAAGTTCAAAATCAAAACTTTTTGCCTGCAGTGGAAAAGCTAAGAAAAAGGACTTAAAGATTTGTTTTATATAAATAAATGCAATAATATAAGGGAGTTAGATGAAAGATTAATAATAAAGAAAAGTTTCATTTGTTGGTTTTGCTTATTCTTTACATTAATATATATATAGAAAATATTTTGTAGGGCTGACAACTTTATCGAAAAGGTGATAGTTCAATTTCAGCTTCGATTAATAAAGTTTTTAATAAAGCTATGTCAAAAAGTGTTCAATCATTGTTTAATAAAGCAGGGAGATATGACAAAAGATTATTTTAAAAACGTTGTACAAAGCAAGTAGGTAATTTTTAAATTTTAAATTTTGACATGTTTGTTATTTACATCATATTAGGAGATAAATAATATAGGCAATGTTTAAATGTTGACATGTTTGTTATCTTATTTTATTCAATAATCAAATGATAATTACGTTTTATTTCATTGTTATACAAACTAAACATGTTTATACATCACACTAATTTACCCTTACTATAATTGTGTGCATATGTAGCATTCTTTGTATGTGCTAATAAAAATGCTCAAAATATTTATATTGGATTTCTTTTTTAGAAACAATGCTGTCACATGTAACAAAATTCGATTCGGTGTCAGTTCGTCAATGCGTTGATAGGCGATCAAGAAAGCTCCTTAAAAAATAAAATATTTTATATCGTTTTTGTATACTTTTTCATTAAAAATGAATATAAAATTATTAAACCTTTAGACAATTATTTCTTTAAAAATCTCTATGCAAATTTAGGCTGCTACACCTAAATTTTTTATATAACTTATCTGCACAAAAAGATTTAAAACGTTTTAAAGCGTTCTTGTGCCCCCTGGGCAGTTACAGCAGACTAATTCCGAGATAAGTGGCTGGAAGTAATCCCTATATGGTGAAAGCACATTTACTTAAAAAAATATTTCTAATTCCTGTATTGATTTGAGTAATTCTTACTTAATTCACATTTGCTAATTCCTACTTATTTTCCTAAAAATCGGAATTAAGTTTTTTACAAAATTGGGAATTAGGTTTATTAAAAAATTCGGAATTAGGTTTTTTACAAAATTCGAAGAGTCCAATTCCCAGTTATAAAACTTAAAAGTTTCTAATTCCGAGTTGCGCTCTAATAGGGTGTTCCCTTTTTAAAGTAATATTATCGATTAAAACGTCTGGCATCATATGTGGAAGTTCCTGTTTTTTTAGAAAGTGGATAAAAGTAAGTCCATTTCGTTTTTTCAATATTGAGGGACAATTTATTTTGTTTAAACCAAACATTAACTTTTTTTAGTTCATTTGTCATATCAGTTAATAGTACATTAATATTTTCATGAGACAAAAATAAATTTGTATCATCTGCAAAATTTATTGTTGTTAAGTTTGAAGATTTATGTAGATTGTTTATGTATATTAAAAAAAAGGAGTGGAACAAGTATTGATCTTTGCGAAACTCCAAATGATATACTCATAAATGCACGAGATGTGGAATCTTTATTGGAAACAAACTGTTTATTGTTTGTAAGGTAACTTTTGAACCAAAGCAGTGCTTTATCTTTAATACCAGAAGACAAAAGTTTTTTTAATAGGATTTGGTGATTCACGGTATTAAATGCTTCGGACAACTCAATAAACACCTCAATACCTCTATTGTAAAACAAGAGTCTTTGAAGGAATCTGTAATAATACGCGTAAGTTGAAGAACGGCTTGTTCGGTTGAATTTTTTTTTTTTTTAAGCGAATTTAGTTTTCATGCAGTATTTTATTTTTAATATAATAAAAGTAGACTAGATTAAACAATTTTATTCCTAACATTTTCGAAAAAACTGGATGAACTGAGATAGGGCGATAATTTGTTATATTTGTACGATCGCCGGTCTTGAAGGTTGGAGTTATTTTTGCTATTTTCAGTTTATCTGGAAAAGACCTTTGTGTGATGGACACTCTGAAGATTTTATAAAGAAATTTTTTCACAATATCGTTGGAGACTATTATGATATTTGCGTTAATTTCATCGTATCCAGTTGCTTTATTTCGTTTTTATGACTTAAAAGCAACGTAAAATTAATCAAAAGTTAACTCAGTATTATTTAGAGTAGAGTTTATCAGAGTTTCATATTCATCAATAGCTTTTTCTTTAATGTATGGAATCTTATTGCATAATTTTGTTCCGATTGTTGTAAAAAAACTTGTTTATTTTAAATGCAAATTTGTTTGGATCATTAAATTTTTTTCAATATTTATTACGTCTGGTAACGAATTTATATTTATTTTATATTTTCCAGTCACCTCTTTCATGACTTGCCAGACCCTTTTTGAGTTGAGTTAGTATTTATTTAGCAAGTTTAATCCGCAATTTTTCTTTGAACTTTTACGAAGCTTTTCAAATAAGTTTTAATAATTTAAATAATTTTGTTTGTGTTTTTCTGATTTTGATTTTAGATATTGAACATATAACTTCTGTTTAATTTTCGAGGAATTTATGAGACTCTTTATAATCCAAGAAGTTGATATCTCTTTGGCTTTTAAGACGACTTTTCACGTTGAGGAAAATTGAAATCTTAAGCTGCATAACTTTTTGCAGTTTGAATTTTTTGATATTTTTTGAAGATTTGAATTTTCCTCTACCTGCGTAGAGGAAAATTTAAATCTTAACTGCAAAAAGTTTAAAAAAATGGATTATAGATTATGTTAATATCATTATTAAGATTGACGTCGTCTCAGTTTATAAGTGATAATTGCTCTCTAAAGGAATTAAAACTATTAATATTGAAAAGCCGTTTTTTTATTGAGAGTTTTACATGGTTCTCTATTTTTAAGTTTACGCCTAATAAGGAAAATATTAAGAAATTTTTTTTTTTTTTTTTTTTTATTTGCATTCACTCCCAACAAGGCTGCAAGCAACCACTATTAAGTTGGGAGTTACTAGGAAAAAAAAAAGAACAGAGTTATAGAGCAAGGGAACGGTTGACAGAAGACTTGAAAAGTTGAAGGTTGTATGAGTCAGGAAAACATATAGATGGGAGAGAGTTCCAAAGGATTGAAGTGCGGGGAAAAAAACTAGATGAATAAAAGTTTTTAGAGCATGCAGGGACAGATACAGTAAACGAATGAGACTTAGCTGAATGACGAGTAAAACGAGAATGAATTTTAGTTGATGGAACTAGAGATGATAACTCCTTTGAGCAGTGACCATGATAGTATCTGTAGAAAAGAAAAAGAGATGCAACTTTACGACGATGGGAAAGAGGTTCAAGCTTAGCAGATAGTCCAGGTCCAACAACATTTACAATGCGTTTTTGGACCTTGTCAAGAA